CCAGTGAAGCCTAAATAATTAGGACGCAATATTGTGACTTACGCAACTAGCCCATTTCATGTCCGACCTATCACACCGGCTCGTTCCACAGTGCGTTCCCGATGAGATCCCGCTGAGTTCCCGATTGAGCCGACAACGTCACCCGTTGATAATGCGCCCGATTTTACGAGCGGGCCCTGTGGAAAGGGGGTGGCGGGGGGCGGGGGTTGTTTAGAGTTTTCAGCTCACATTAGCGAAACGCGGGCCGCAATCGGAGGATTAAGCGTCCAGAGTGATGCCCGCATTAAAAGCATTAAAATTCGGGCTTTGAGCGTCCGCGTCCGCCGTGGCGACGTGCCGCGTCGTGGGAATTGTTGCCAGATAGTGCTAGAAAATCAACGCTATTCCCTATTCAAACCCGTGAAAATATATAGATTTTATCGCAGATTTGGCAACTTTGGTTGTGGGACACCCGTCCGGGCCACCTACGACCGCGCAGGAGACGCTTCGCAGAATTCGTCGCTCCTATAAGGCGTAAGGGAGTAACTGTATTTTGAGATGAGCCCTGTTAACCATTTAGCTAGCAGCGGCGTGGCGTGAATTGCAATATATCGATCGATCTGCCATTTAAACCTATGGGAAAGTATCGATAAACAGGGTGTTCGCAGCGAACACCTTAATAATCGATTCTTTACCATAGGTTTAAATGCCATAACAATCGATACATCGCAATTCACGCCCCGCCACTGTTAGCTACCTACTTTCTGGGGCTCATAGGGAAATTGGGATGCGCCCCTACGTCAGAGGAGCGACGAATTTACGAACAGGGCCCAGGCGCGGTTGCGCTAGGTGATGTTTTAATTCCATGCTAACGAACGGGAGACGGTGTCCTGATTGCGGTGTTTCAAAATTTCCGCTTTTCTTTCATTTTATTTGATTTGGAGGAAACCCGGCGAAATTTTTGCAAAAATGGGCGTTTTTCTGTATTGCCGTGCTAAGGAAGAACGCTGTATGAGCCCTCGGATGTTGCCATATTTCCTCCAATGAAGAATGGATTTACTGAGAAAATTATGAATATTTTTCTTCAAATTTTACCGACAATTTTGTTCACGGTTCAATCTAAAATCTTGGTAACATTTCGAGGGAAAATATGCCCAACATTTCTCATAAATACATGTTTTATCCATGGAAATTTGGCAACTCGCGAATGTTCGTGCCGCGTTCCTCCTCAGCACGGCAGTTTAGGGTGTCTCAGTGTTAAACACGAATGTTTTCAGGATCAATTTTTAGAATCAAAATAAGAGTTTTTTGTCCTACAACGCTTCCCCGCAATGAAGCCCCTTTCCATAGGCACAGCTCTTCCCCCAAAACCCCCCTTAAAATATGCGTTCAGTTCTTTTTCTTGAGGCCAGGAATGTGTTCACTTCGTAAGAGGACGTAGAAATGCCCATTTTCATGCATTTTGATTCAAAGCTGTCGTCACAATCAAGAACATATGTTTCTTAGGTCTTAATCAATTATCATTTGTCTGCTTCCTATTTCCTACTATCACGCATTAAGTAGAAATAATGACGCATGCCCTTGTATTTTGTGTGTTCCTCATACCATTCTGCTACTAACTCCTGCTTGAAAGTCCCTCTCATTTCTCAGTTCTCTCATTTTATAACCTTTTAACAATGATTTGATCCAAATTTATGGCATTCAATTCTTCAACGGATTTTTTCGCAGTGTAAAAATTTGGAAAGGTTCTTCCTACTTCAAAAGTGGACCTCATTTCGCAATTAGAAACTACAATTTCTGGCTCATTTAAGCCACAACATACGCGCCATTACCAATGAAGATAGGTATTAGCTATCTTCATTGGTAACCTATCTTCATACCTATCTTCATTACCTATCAGGTAACTTTATCGATGAGCCGGAAATTGTAGTTTCTTATTGCAACATATGACCCAATCAGTCCAATGAACAAGGGTGTATGTTATGCCATCCGAGAAATCAAAAAATATCATGTCAATCCGAAGAATTGATGGACTCAATGGGGGTCGTCCGTAAATTATTCGAGACACTACTTATTCCAATTTTCTATCCTCTCGTTCTCCAGAGGCTTCATCTCTCCCTCCTACCCATTATTCTAGACATTAAAGGACAATTTTTGGAGCCATATCCCCTCCCCCCGAGGAATAAATGCCTCATGTTTTTTGACGGCTCCTTAACCTATGGGGTATACTGCAATCATTTTCAAACTGTCGAACGAATAATCTAGCCGGTATAATCGAGGTTTTGTGGCTTAAAATGTTGCATTTAATAGTAACATGCTTTAGCTTGCCGGTCAGGAACCGGAACATACAACTTTATCATCTATTGAAAAGTTTTTTATCATTAATTGAAAAGTTTTCTTATCATTAATTGAAATTTTTTTTTATCGTTCATTGAAAAGTTCCCAGAATCATGGTACAATCCACGCCCAATAAGTGTAGGCACCTCTATAGACTGCGACAGAAGATCCGCCATCTTGATTCTTCCATTTACTTTACATGTGAAAGTGACGTTAGGCCATCTTCTGTCGCAGTCAAAAGGTGCGGAAACTTATTTGGCGTGGACTTTGCCTTGTCTGCGTGCTCTCGCGTTATATAGTTATGCGTACCGCCTATAATTAATCCAAAAGCGTTATTCCAGTAATTTTTTAATGTTTTCAAAAATGAAAAAAACAATCGGAAAGAATCCTGAATCCTAGGTGATTAATTTCCTTCCTCTCCATCTTAACTTTTCAGTAATCTGCGCACAAGGTCTAATTGCAAAGGATAAAAGCGGTACATCGGATCCATATGTGACAGTTCAAGTTGGGAAGGTGAAGAAACGAACGCGCACAATGCCACAAGAACTGAACCCCGTGTGGCAGGAAAAGTTTTATTTGTAAGTAACCACTCATTCATCTCCGATATTTCTCCTTTCCTGACACATTTCAAAAGTCAAACTCTTGGAATTTCACTTTGAATAAGAACGATCGCTCGGATAAGATATTTTGCAGATTGACAGCAACTTTGTAGAAGCTGGGGCTGATATTCTCCCACCTGCCTTTCTTTACGTATGCATTTTTTTGGTGGTACGGATGAAAATCGAAAGAAAAACAATCAGGAATAGGATATCGGACAGAACTTAAAGAGAACAAATGAATGGCTTGGAGGACAAAACGCACAAGTGCAGTTTTTGCCATCTCGAGAAATACGTGATTGGAGTTTCGACATTACATGGATTCTTACGGCGGAAAGAAAGTTCAAAATGACTTTTTGATGCTTAGAAATTGGAATAGAGGAAGCGAATTTTTCACAAAATATGCACTAAGACTATAGTTTTACTTGAAACCAATAATATTTCAATTTTTTCAAAAACTGTGCTTATGAGCCTTGTCCTCCAAACCCCTCAAATCTGAATATTTTTGCTGCAGTTTATATCTACATCCATGAAGAGAAAATGGAACTGAAGGGACCCAAATATCTGATGATATCTGCTGATTTTAGACTTTTATTGGACATGGTCGTTCGGTGAGTTTCAGTACAGTGGAAAAAAACAACACATTGGATGTAAAGTCCAGACTCTTGAAAACATTGACAAGAAAAATGACTCTTGATTCAATCAGATTTAAGCTTAAATTAAAAGGAAATACGCTCAAATTAAGAGAATGGGCTCTTGATTTAAGCTTAAATCTGATTGAATCAAGAGTATTTTTTCTTTTCGATGTTTTTAAGAGTTTGGACTCTAGATCCAATGTGTTTTTTTTNGACTTTTATTGGACATGGTCGTTCGGTGAGTTTCAGTATAGTGGAAATAAACAACACATTGGATGTAAAAGTCCAGACTCTTGAAAACATTGACAAGAAAAATGACTCTTGATTCAATCAGATTTAAGCTTAAATTAAAAGGAAATACGCTCAAATTAAGAGAATGGGCTCTTGATTTAAGCTTAAATCTGATTGAATCAAGAGTATTTTTTCTTTTCGATGTTTTTAAGAGTTTGGACTCTAGATCCAATGTGTTTTTTTTCCAGTGTAATAAATTGACCCACTGATCTGTGTGATCCGTGACACTTGACTCGAGGAAACCGCTCAAGAATGGTGTGAGAAAACGCCTTCTTGTTGTGCTTAAATCGTGTGTAAGGTTTCATTAGCTCACCAATTAGTTCCGTCATCCTCTGATCTTTAGGTAACGGGGTCAGTTCAGTTACTTGGAGTTCTAAATCTCCTTCATCACTGAGGCATACACTTAGCGTCGCACCCATATCTGTGTAACTTTTCGAAATAGACCGTGTTTAACAGGAAGAAACCAAGCCACATCAGCTAGTGCCAAAGCGCAATGCGTGAAGTATCCCCGTTAGGTTTGTAGGCGCCAGTGCGCGTTTTCCGCAATGCGTGAAGTATCCCTATTAGGTTTGTAGGCGCCAGTTTTTACTGGGCAATTTAATTTTTTGCGAGAGAACGTTTGTGCGGATTCCTTTGGAAAGTTTGATGAATTGTCTTCTGACCATGCAAAAAATTCACTGAAATTTTCTCAAGAATCCGCACAACCGTTTGCATTTAAAAAATTAATTTGCTCATTTAAAATTTTCAATCGCCGATGTGGCTTGGTTCCTTTGTACTTGACGTGGTTCAAATTCGCAAAAAATTGATCGTAGCATAAATTTCCTCTAAACTCCCCGTATGTCGATTTCTTTACAATTTTGTTTAAATGCAGCTTAAAAAGTTCTATTTATAGGTGCTATTATCTTCGTTTCATAATTAAGTTCCCGTGTACTCTTTTGATTCTTTATTGATGATCACAGTGCGAAACCACCTATCTCGCGTTTGCGACGTTGCTGATTTCTTATCCGCAATAGAGTCACGTGGTTTTGCACTTTAGCTATCGATATGCTCACAATTTTTCAAGCTTTATGATTCCTTTTTTTTCCAGCGAATGTCACAACTCGTCGGATCGGATTAAAGTGAGAGTTTGGGATGAGGATAACGATCTCAAGTCGAAACTCCGACAAAAACTCACCCGCGAGTCGGATGATTTTTTGGGTCAAACTATCATTGAGGTAAGTTCAAGAACCAAGTCGTATTACATATACATAATGCTGGTTACATCTACTAAGTTAATGTTGGTTACATCCATATACGTGGTCGCTGATTTTGTAGCTATCTTATACTATTATTATGATTAATTGGATGTATTTATGCTGAAAGGAACTAAGGGCCGTTTGTAAGATCTCTTGTCAACCTCTGGTCACCAAGTCAGTGGTCAGACTCTGACCAGCAGTTAATCTGCTAATCAGCCTAACTACTGGTTTGCGAGAGAGAACAAAAGCTGACCGGGACTTGACCTGAAGAAAAGCGGGAGTCGTACACACCGACACCTCTGGTCAGCTCAAACCACCAGTTTGACAAGCACCTGACCAGAGGTCTTACAATCGGCCCTAAAAGACGTGTTGTAAAGATGGAGTGTGCTCGTGGTGAGCTGCATTAGAAACAATGTTGAAGTGGACGTGATTTCTTTTGACAAATTAGATAAATGGAATTTTACATTAAATGCAAAGGAACTAAGCGGCAAAATATACCAAGTTATGAGCCATTGCACAGCAAAATTGTTGTCATAATGTTGAAAATGTCCGCCTATCATAAGTTTCCGTGGAACAAACTCCCTTTCATGTAATTTGAATTTTTAATAACGGCATTTCTTGCCCCTCTTGTCTTTCAGGTGAGGACCCTTTCTGGTGAGATGGACGTTTGGTATAACCTGGAAAAACGTACCGATAAGTCAGCTGTATCGGGAGCTATACGTCTTCATATTAGTGTAGAAATCAAGGGTGAAGAAAAAGTAAGTCTTTTGAAATAAGTAACTACAAATTTATTTTGATTGTTTTTTTAACAGAAAAAAGCGTTATCGCCGCGGAATATTTTTTACAATTTTTATTCGTCCTTTTCATACATTAAATGTATTTTACCAGGTGGAACCGGTCCAGAGGGCCTTTGATGACACGATTGGGGAGAATTGTTTTCGTGTTTTTATGAGTTTTCAGCCATTTACCGCTATTATCTGATAATTTAGGCTATTTCTAACTACATCCGCCTGTTTTCGTCCTTTTTCAAACATTCTGACCACTTACGGCTGATAGTGTAGTGAGAAAACCCTTTGATGAAGTCATTGGGCGCCTTTTGATGACGCTATTTTTGAAGCATAGGTATCATTTATTCCCTTATGCAGAGAGATGCTTTTTAAGAATGAGCTTATAAATAAAAAGTTTGCGAATTGTTGTCGAAATTTTCCCCTTTTACTTTTACTGAGATTCTTTCGAGTTTAAAGGGAAGATAAAACGGACGAAAAACAGAAAATACACCCGACACGGTCCAAATAAAAACAATGCGAGGCGCAAATGGAAGTTTTTTTCTTTATGAGTGGAGCGAAATGGACACATCGGGGCATATTTTAAATAATAATTGTGCAAAGATATCAAAATTGATGGAGATTCTGACCCAATTCTGTGCTCCTGGCGAGAGATGCCGGTTGAGATAAGAATCCACAGCCCTTGCGATGTTACTTTGTCCCGTGCATTGTTGTCAAATAGTGCTGAAAATATTCCCCATTTAAAACTGCATGAAATATCCGTATATCATCGTGCAATCTGGCAACCGGACACACAAGGGAGCATATCAAATGAGGACAAAACAATTTTGACCCAAACCACGTAGGTTTCCCCTTATCATAAATTTTTCCACTGAAAAGGGCCCTCTCTTCACGGCCAGCGTCACCCATTATACATTCGGTGGACTTCCACAGCTTGCTTTAGACACAGAAATTCAGACACTCTGCCCCTTTCTTTAACAATGGAAATGACAATAAAAAAATACCGCCTCTCTGTCGATGCTGTTTTTGAGACAACGGTCTCGATATTCTGAAGAAAACCTGTGAATATGTTTCTTCGTAATTTTACAGAATTTTACCCACAAAAAATAATGTATCTAAATTTTTTAAGGAGAAAAGGGAAAGTGTCACCGTAACAGTTCTGCTCGAGGTTGCAATTTTGCATGAAAAATAAAGTTTCATGTGAAATATTGCATGAAATTTTAGACAAATATGGAGGATATTGAAGAATATTTTTCGAAATGCAAATTTTTTAATGAAATACAAATAACAGGAACGGCAAATGGTCTTTGCTTTTTGGTGTCTTATAGTGAGTGTTGCATATCCACCCAGCCTCTGGCAACGTTTCATATTGTTCACAATTTTGTGAAATTTTATGAAATATTTTACAGAAATTTCCAATCTTTCATAAATTTCATTTCACTTGTGCAACCTTGGCTGCGTAGTTTCACTGCCGTGCTGAGGAAGAACACCGTTTGAGCCCTTGGAAAATGCTAAATTTCGTTTAATTGAACACGAATTTTCTGGAACATTTCACCCGCAATTTCATCGGAGGTATCTAAAAAATTAACGGACGCATAACTTTTCTCTCAAATGTACATGTCATTGGTGGAAATTAGCCGACTTGAAAATTTTCAAACGGCGTTTTTTCTTTCGGCTCGGCAACAGTGCAGTCCAGCATCCCCTAAAAATCTCATCAGGAAACACCACTGCTCTAAAAGTTATCTCTGTTTCTTGTTTCATCCTTTGTTTCTCACTGCGAATCACTTTCCGTGTTTCCAATAAACAGGTAGCACCATATCATGTACAATACACGTGCCTTCATGAAAATCTATTTCATTCGCTTTGTGAGGAGAACCAAGGCATGGTTCGACTGCCACAAACGAAGGGAGACGATGCCTGGAAGATCTACTTCGATGATCCAGCCCAGGAAATCGTGGATGAGTTCGCCATGCGTTACGGCATCGAATCAATATATCAAGCTATGACGTAAGCTCAACCTCATTCTTTTCACATTTTTGTACGAAAAATTCGGAGAAGACAATTTTTACTCGGTGCCGTGCCGTGATTGTTTTCAGTGGTGTGGCATGCTTTGCGGTATATCAATTGGACTACATTTTGCAATTCGGAACTACATTTCCTGGCTCATCTGTAAAAACACTTATGTGCATAGGGACTCTAATGGTGCATACGTTGTTTCTAAACTAAGCCAGATTTTGTAGCTCCGAATTGCAAAATGCAGTCCAATTGATCTGTCATTCAAACCTATGATAAAACCTTTGTGCGGAACCGCATATCTCCGTTAGCGACGTGCAAAAGTCCTCGAATAATTTTTCGTCCTCGGCAAACTAGTCAAAATTATTCTCTGCCAGGCAATTATTCTGCTTGAATTTCAAGCTCCATAGTTGGCTCATTTCTCTTGAAAAAATAAAATAGGAGCGAAGATTTTAAAACACCGCAAAATAGATACGTAGTTCTATACTTTGGCCATCGATATCATCAAGCTGGCAAAAGTTCTTGCTTCTCTCCGCAGTTTGGAAGTTTTTTTTTTTTTTTTTTTTTTTGGTTTGTTTTTTTTCTCCAGGATGAACCACGTTCATTTTAGTGTACGGTAATTTCTAAAGTGAATGATTTTACATTCTTGTCGAGAAGGATCAACAACCAGGATCCTGGCTTTCATAATTATTTTGTCGCTCCTCTGACTAAAGGGTGTAACTCAATTCCCACGTTCTCTGTTTTACGTATACATCCATGCTTCGTGGGGCTCATGAGGATTTTCGAGTTACGCCCATATGCCAGAAGAATGACGATTTTGAGAGATGAGATATCACCGGAGAGTGCGCTGAATGTCGACGGTGAAACTACCAAACCACGTATATAGTTTTGCGATGTTGGAGATTTCGTATCGTACCTTATTCTTTAAACGGAAGACTGTTCAAAGTACATTTTTAAAAACTTTTGACACCAAGCTCATGAGGCTTTTTAATTTTTTGTGGAATAAGAGAGATGAACGTGACCTTCAGCCAACTGTTGAGGATTTTTGGTATCCTGCGGTAGCGCCTTTAAAAATTCGGTTCAGTTTTTTAGGCATCAAAATATGCTCTTGTAAGGGTCTCTAAAGTGAGGGATTTTGTATTTCAGACATTTCCACTGCCTGTCAACCAAGTACCTGTGTTCCGGTGTGCCGGCTGTAATGAGCACACTATTAGCCAATATCAACGCTTACTATGCGCACACTACAGCTTCGTCGGCTGTTTCAGCTAGTGATCGCTTCGCTGCCTCTAATTTTGGGGTAAGTTATGCAAGTTTCGCCTGTAATGTAAATTATGCATGTCACTTAAGTTACACAAGTGACACGAGTAACGTATGTTATGCAAGAAGTGTGAGTTACGCAAGAAACGTGAGTTACTTAAGAAACTTGAGTTACGCAAGAAACGTGAGTTACGCAAGAAACGTGAGTTACGCAAGAAACGTGAGTTACGCAAGAAACGTGAGTTACGCAAGAAACGTGAGTTACGCAAGAAACGTGAGTAACGCAAGAAACGTAACGAGTTGCGAAAGTACGTAACGCAAGTAGCGTACTTCATGTAATTAGCGTGATTGTCAAAAAAATTAAAGATCAATCTCATCAGAAGCCTGCTCTGAAAAGGGCACGCTATTTGCTACTTGGATTACATTTTGCAATAAGGAACCACTACTTCTGGCCCAGTTTAGTAACAACATACATGCCATTGGTTTCCCTATGCAGATATGGCTTTTATACGAGAGCCAGAGATAGTGGTTCCGTATTGCAAAATGTAATCCACTTATACTACCCTGAAAAATGCGGAATGAACTGAATGCCGTCTGATGGAGATCATATTGAGACCAGGAAATTATGGCTGTTGAAACTCTAAATGGACACATTTCTACCAAACAGAACCATGTGCAGGTGGAAAAGATGGGGTGTGATCGTTACTCGAGGGCCGTAAGAAGAGCGCCGGTGACGTCAGCGTCGACGATTGAGCCGGAGGGCGACAATCCGGGGGCATGAACTCATAAACCCTGTCCGCAACGCTCTAGAGACATTCCCATAGGCACATAGCTCTGTTTGCAAAATTGGAAAAGCGAGATTTTACATTCTACCAAGCTGCTGCTTTAGCTTTGTAAGCTTGATTTTTTAATCATTCTTTATTTTCTTTGTTCTTTTCCAGAAAGAGAAGTTTGTAAAACTACTAGATCAGCTGCACAACTCCTTACGAATAGACTTATCAATGTATCGTAACAACTTCCCAGCATCGAGGGAAGAGAAACTCATGGACCTGAAATCAACCGTAGATCTCCTAACAAGTATAACGTTCTTCCGGATGAAGGTGATTTAAATTGTTAAAATTTGAAAAAAAAAAAATTTTCTTTATTAAATATATAGAGAACTACAAGATACATATATTAATCCTATTTGTTATGACTTATGAACTATTTACAATAATGTAATGGGTGGCTAGCTATCTGCAAAATGTACAGAGACAGTAATGACCTTAATGATTAGGATTTAAGATAATTGTTACAATATATTTATAAGTTCGTAAAATAGTGAAGATATTCACAAAAAGAGTAAGTTTTTGGATCTAAAAAAATAAAATTAAGAAAAGTAAGAAGAAAGGGAGGGAGAGGGAAGATAGAAGAGCAAAAATATTCGGGGGGAAAAAATTTTCAGGAACGTCATTTCGCCTAATTCTAAAAAAAGCAATCATTATTGAGAAGAGGTCGTATTTCTTGTAAGGGCTTACCGCTACCCTCCAAAAATTGATGCAAAATATAAAAAAAAAAATTAAAAAAAAGACCTCCAATTTATCGAAGAACAGGCGTGCTGCCAGCGCGACACGCGCTCCGACGACGCCTACAAACCTACAGGGCTACTTCCTGCATTGCGAAATGCTTGAAGTATTCCCTTAGGTTTGTAGGAGCCACTGCGCGTTTCGCGCCTACAAACCTAAGGGGATACTTCACGCATTGCGCAATGCTTGAAGTATCCCCTTAGGTTTGTAGACGCTAATGCGCGTTTCGCGCTGAGCGCCCGCCGCGTCGCAGTGTTTATCGAAAAAAAAATCAAATCCCAGATGCAGGCAGAATAAAGGAGAATGTGTCCTCCTGTCTACACTGATTGCAATGGCGAGGCATGCATGCTCTATTATCGAAATCTCCCCATTTGAAGCTGTGGTGAAGAATCGATTATTAAAGTGTTCGTTGCGAACATCCGGTTTATCGATTCTTTCCCATAGGTTTAAAAAGCTAATCAATCGATAAATCGCAAATCATGCCACGCCATTGTGACGCTCCTGAATCTTTTATTTACAACTGAGAAGTAAATCTATTTTAAGAATGAAAAACTCCAGTGGTGAAGCAAAAATCGTGGATTCTTTGAATTTTGTAGAATGTACAAAGAGCGGGTGAATTTCAGCGTGATTCACGTGAGAGAATTTGAAAGGCCTTCATTGCAGATAACCCTACAAAAGCTTTATGAGGAAACAAATTTTGCCGTTTCCACTCATCGGTTTGTATCGCTTTTCATGTTCAGGTTCAAGAATTCTCCAGTCCGCCTCGTGCCAGTGCCGTTGTGAAAGACTGCGTTAAAGCGTGTTTACGCTCAACGTATCAATTTCTCTTTGAAAATTGTTACGACCTGTATAATAGAGAATTCCAGGTGAGTGGAGTTTCATTATACCCCCGGGTTCATGATCTTATTGTTTTATTGACAATCGTTATCGTATTGCTTTTCCTGTTTCTGTTAATAAAAAATCTCGAAACACTCGATTTGATTATCCTCTCTCATTGCATTTCGAATGCGAAGCGGGGGAGATAAAAAAAAATTGGAGGAAAAAACCTTCAGTATTTACGGTATTTCTGCGATGAAAATAATCACTATCCTCAGTCGATATTAATTTCAGTCCGCTTTTTTCTTCCTCTTTTCTCTTTTTCCCAAGTTTTTTTCAAATCAAAGCGTCGTTTTCAATGCAAAGGAACGCACGTGAACTCCATTTCAAGCAGATTGCAAAATCGGCTCAAACAATTGGACTGCATTTTGCAATTTGGAACTATAAATTTTGGCTCTTCTGGAAAAACACTTATGTGCATAGGAAAACTAATGGCACATACGTTGTTTTTAAACCGGGCTAGAATCTATAGGTCCAAATTGCAAAATGTAGTCCAATTGGCCCTCAGACAATTGCAATACAGTGCCTTCGCGTTCAAGTCTTCTCGAGAATGACCGCACTTTTCCGATGTTTTCCAGTCCCTAATATTTCATTTTTCCTTCTGTCAGTCGGCAATCAGATGCATCTACGTCAAAGCAATAATGCCGAATGACCAAAAACTCAGTTTCCGATATTTTTGGTGCTTGAGTCTTTATGATTATGGCCGATTCAACTGTAAAATGTGCCCCACTTTGATATCGAAAATGCAAAAATGCATATCTCCGTTTTTCGGCATTGCAGACTTCCTGTCATACTTTATCTCCCACTCAGAAAACTACTGAACGTAATTTTTCAAAAATTGCAGTGAGTTTTCTTCTCTTTCTAAAGGGTTCTCTGTGAAAACTTCGTCGTCCGTCGGCATTTCCCATTGAAACACGTGTGTTTTAACAGATTAGATCATTTTGTCTTACCTTCTCCAATAATTGTTCAATTCATGAACCAAGCAGTGTTCGAAACTCACCTTTGAGTTTTAGGGCGCATCAAGCCCGATTTTTAGGCGCCATTGAATATTTTCTAGGGGCCAGATTGACTTTATGCCTTTATATTGCGGCGCATTTAGTGAAAAGTTAGACGCAAGATTTTTTCGTAACAGAACTAGTAAGTAGCTGTAACTTGGAGAAACCACAAGCACCAAGGATGAAATCGTGAAGAATAGAAAAAGCCTTCACTTATAGTGCTAAAAATTTCGAATAATCACCTATTATGAAATTTCAGAAAATTCAATTTTTAGGGGCCACATTGGCGCAGATCCTTCATTTTTTAGGCGCATTTGGCGCGTTGGCGCTTGTGTGTTTCGAACACTGGAACCAAGGGTATCCTCGCGTTCGGTTCACTCAGTATAGTTTTTACTTAAACACGAAATTCATAATATTTCAGACACCCGCAAATTCTCTATTCTCACTGGAAAAAAAACACATTGGATCTAGAGTCCAGACTCTTAAAAACATTGACAAGAAAAAATACTCTTGATTCAATCGGAATTTTGCTTAAATCAAAAACCAAGCCTCTTAATTTGAGCGGATTTCCTTTTGATTTAAGCAAAACTCTGATTAAATCAAAAGTATTTTTTCTTGTCAGTGTTTTCAAGAGTCTGGACTCTAGATCCAATGTGTTATTTTTCCAGTGCCCGATTTTTACTTTCTCGCTCCCCTGGGGTGGAAAGGAAGTATTGTCATCCTCCAAGGAAAAAAAAGGGGGAAAAAGTTGAAATTTCATCATTTCTAGACGTTTTAAGGTCCCAGAAGTCAAAATAACCATACTTGAAAAAATGTGTGTCTGTCCGTCCGACGTCCCCCAAATCTGTGTACAGCGATACCTTAGAATCTATCGGTTCGATTTCATTCAAAATTTGTACACAACACCATATTTATGGTCTTCTTATGCACGTCAAACGATTTTAGGGTTTATTTGGTCTGTAAGTATTTTCGAGAATGATGGATTAATTTTCCTGGGGGTTGTTTCGCAGGCTGACCCGAACGAAACGAAGCGGGACTCGGAGGACCACGGGCCGCGGCTGGACTCGCTAGACTTCTGGCACAAGCTGATCACGCTGATCATCTCGGTGATCGAGGAGGACCGCAACAGCTACGGCCCGGTGCTCAACCAGTTCCCGCAGGAGCTCAATATCGGGCAGCTCTCGGCGGCGACCATGTGGAGCCTCTTCGCGGTCGACATGAAGTACGCCCTCGAGGAGCACGAGCAGCACCGCCTCTGCAAGTCCTCCGGGTACATGAACCTCCACTTCAAGGTCAAGTGGCTCTACACCAACTACGTCAAGGACGTCCCGCCCTACAAGGGCTCCGTCCCCGAGTATCCGGCCTGGTTCGAGCCCTTCGTCATGCAGTGGCTCAACGAGAACGACGACGTGTCCCTCGAGTACCTCAACGGCGCTTTCAATCGGGATAAGAAGGATGGGGTAAGTTTCTTAGTTGTAAGAACCGCCATAAGTTCCCAAGTAGCAAAATGGAATTGTTTTCTAGAAAAAAAATATTAAGAAAATTTTTAGAAGAAACAAAGAAAATGAGAGTTACCCAGAAAATAGAAAGAAAAAACATTCCGAGTCAAAAGTCGGACCAAAGAAAATAGATCTATTTCATAGGTCTATTTACTGTCAACTTCCCATTTGGAAAAAGATTGAAAATTTATTGAAAGTAGAATTATTTTCTAGCCAATTTCTTAAAGTTTTCTTTTAAGAAAATGCAAGGGAAACATGTATTTTCTTCCTATTTTCTTGTGTCTATTTTTTAGATCTACTTTATACCTATTTTCTTTTAAGAAAATTGTTCTATCTACAAAGTAGACATTTTCATGATGAGCGCCACCTAGAAAGTAGATGACAATGCTACTTAGGTTGCGAAAATATCGTTGAATTATTTCAATTTTAAGGCAACATGTGCGGATTGCCTACCTACCTTTTTGAAAGGGCAAAATTATTGAGATCTATTCTGCCGAGCTAAGGAAAAACGCCTTATGAGCACTCAGGCGTTGCCAAATTTCCCCCGGCGAATCAATAATTTTCAGGAAAATTTTTAAATATTTTTCTCCCGATTTCTCAGATGATTTTGTTTATAATTTGATCTAAAACGTCTGAAAATTTCCAAGAAAAATATTCATAATTTTCCTCAAAAACAAACATTTTATCGAAGGAAATTTGGCAACTTTCGAACTTTCACAAGACGTTCTGCCAGTAAAGCAGTATTGCAATATTATCGAAAAAACTGGAATTCAAAGGCAATAATTCGCAATTCTTGTTGTGACGCAGATTGTCTACTTACTTAATTCAAGGCACCCTCAAAGCTTTGCCATGAAATTGCGAACAATTTTGGAAAATTGTCCATGTTTTTCCAAAAATTGCAATTTTATCGCAACATCATGGCCATATGTTGAAAAATGTTTGCAATTCTGGCCCTGTAGAGTACTATATTACTTGACGTGCTTAACGTTTCTTCTCAATATTGAGAGAGTATTGGGCCCTGAGAGCTTCATACTTTGATGTGACTGCACTCTCTTTATATATAGGTACTCCCCTCCTAACGCTCAAACTAATCGTGATATTTTGTTTACAGTTCCAACGGAGCTCGGAACATGCGCTATTCTCGAATTCGGTGGTGGACGTGTTCACGCAGCTGACGCAGTGCTTCGACGTCGTCTCGAAACTGGAGTGTCCCGACCCGGAGATCTGGAAGAGGTACATGAAGCGATTCGCCAAGACCATCGTCAAAGTCCTCATCGCCTACGCGGACATCGTCAAGAAGGAGTTCCCGACACATCTCAAGGACGAACGAGTGGTAAGTCCTTGATACATCGATCGACCACAAACAAGAGGCTTGGAGGACGAGGTGCATGAGCGCGGTTTTTGAGAAAATTGAGATATTAATGATTCCAAGTAAAACTAGTCTAAATACATATTTTGTGAAAAATTCGTTCCAAAATTTCAATTTTTAAGCATCACAAAGGCAAATTAATATTTCTTCCCGCTTTAAGGATCGATGTAATTTCCTAACTTCAAACACGTATTTCTCGAAATAGCAAAAGCCACATTTATGCGCCTTGACCTCCAAGCCCCTCAAATACGGCTTTAAAAGCCCGGCAATTATCGTCTATTTTTCTACTCTTGCGTTAAAGTCTCCAAAAAACTGCTTCTTTAGTTGTAAAATTGTAACAGTTGTAACAGTGTATTCTTCACTGATTTTTCGGTGATAAGCGTAATTTCTCTTCCTATTTACGGGAAAATCATATGAAACTCAGGGAATTTGAAACTTGTGTAAATCAAGGAATTTTCCCTAACTCAGATAAGTCGGGAACAGTTAGAAAATGTTGCTGCGGAAATTTTTTTCTCCAGCCTTCACATTGCATTTTTTTTTACCATCAAGATAATTAGCGCTCAGAATTGTTTGCCATCAGAATTTTCATCAGAAAATATTCCAAAATCACTGAAAAGTAAGGGAAAAGTTGGGGATAATTATGTTCGGCATATTTGGAAAGTTAGGGAATAATTTGTAAGTCCAAGAAAACTTGTCACTTTGAAAACAGCGATGATTACATTAAATTGTGACTCCACTCGTATTTGCCGATGAAGGACCCGCAAATTGCACCATTTGGCAACGCTGTCACATACGGAGGGCTAATTAATTAATTACGACGATCAGTAACTAGACTATTTACGTCGAAGACGGGAAATTACCTTAAATTTGAGATCGAATCGTTAATAATAATTAATATATTTCCAAATATATTAAATGAGAAGATTCAGAAGGAGGTAAAGTTTGTAAGTGCCGATAAAGTTAGGCGAGTGGGTACCAGTCTCAATTTTATTTTTATATTTATATATTGCATTTAACTGTTTATTTATTATTTTCAATTTCATGAACCACTTAAATCACCTTTTCTTTGCATAGCAATGACGTATGAATGCAATGAATGACACATTTTCATATGGGAAGCGTAGAAAATAAAGGCGTTCCAGTTGTTTCAACGGTTAGGTCTAGATACAACTATTCGTGTTCTCAAGATGCCCGTGTTGCATCCCAAAAAATTGCAGGCGCTCCGATTTTCTCGAGGCACATCCCATGGCTGCAGTCGTTTGTTAGTTCTACAGGGTTTCTTCGACGCTACATTTCCAATCGTGTTTACCATGAAATCCTCGGAGTTCGAATAAGTTGCAAAACGGCAGCGTTGCCAAATAACGCAATTTTGCACCAAAAACATTTGCACAAAGGCACCGCGGATGTCGTTCCACAAATTCCTGTAGAACCCTTACTGTAAAATCAACCGCGCTGCATGACAAACTTATCGAGGATGTTAATTCTTTCTCACTCTCTGTGCAGGCGTGTATTTTGATGAACAACATCCAACAATTGCGGGTGCAACTGGAGAAGATGTTCGAATCTATGGGCGGAGAGAAATTGGAGGAGGATGCAGCAATGATCTTGAAAGAACTTCAGAGCAATCTCAATTCTGCCTTAGATGATCTAGCCATACAATTTGCAAACAGGTGATGATACTATACTTTACATGTTTATTAAGACCTATTTCAATCTGTAACTGAAAAAAGAAAAAAAAATGTCCTTCAAGAATGGAAAACTGGACTGCCAAAGTAATCGTTTGCACGATCTCACCATTCAAACGTGATTTCCAGGAAGTTCCATAAGTTCACATTGAAAAGGGAACGGCGAATTCAGGTTTTGATACCGGAAATTGGTGGTTTCTCCTAAATATTGTGACCCATATTGCCCGTTTTTTCCACCTCTCCAATNGGGGGGGGGGGGGGGTCGGGTCAATTAATTCGTTCCCTTTGATCTTGTCATGTATTCTAGCTGTTCTTCAAAATATAATGATATAAAACATGAGCGGAAATTTTCGACGTTGCAGTTGAAGTATCTTCCTCCCTATGGTCGTCGATATAGTAAAAAATAACACAGACACATATGGTCCCAGCATCGCTCAGATGGGCACCCTTCCGACCCTAGCGATGTGCGTCCAGACGCATGCAACAGCAATTGCATCATCATTTAGTGCAGGCGTTCTCTTAGGATTAAGTCATACCTCTCGGTAAATCCACGTGTCTGTTTCCTTCACTTTTAATTTAGGGCATTTTCTGACACTTCTTTCCATTAATTGTTTTTTAGTTTGGAGCCAAGAATAACTGTTTGTGTCCGAGAGTTGGGTGATCTACTTTTATCGGTCAAAGGCGGTGGCCAAGTAACGTTGAATCAGCCATCACAACGGAACGCTGTAGCAGCAGAAGCAGATGAAGTATTGAGGCCTTTGATGGATCTTCTTGATGGTAAGCACTGACCACAATTCCTTATTATAAATAGAGTTTTTAATTTTTTAATCAGGTTTGGAAAACTATATCCATCCTTGATGAAATTTAAACCATTTTTCACAATTTAAACAACTTGCAAGAAAGGTATTAATTTCAAATCTACTGAAACTTTCTAAGCACAGTGCCTTTCAGTAACGCTATAATCAAAATTCACATTTTATTTCTGTTCGTATATATTTAAGTATTTTACGTCTATTTATCGATAACATATAGTGCATGGGGACACATATTAAGATCTAGAACACAAGTACCACTAGCAAAGAATTTGCAGGATTTTATTCGATGTGTCACAACTTGGTTGTATCATGTAATATATTTTATTAAACCCATTATAAAGTTGAAATCGCAGTACCTACACCTGAAAACCAAAGCAGCTGTACTTTGCTTAATCCGACATTTTTACTTTCCGCAGGTTCGTTATCACTGTACGCTCAATCTTGCGAGAAGACTGTCTTGAAAAGGCTGCTGAAAGAGCTTTGGAAGATTGTGATGCGAATTCTGGAGAAACAAGTTGTTCTTCCACCGATGACTGATAAGAGTGTAAGTACTTTGTGAGGATCATACATGTAGATGTATGTAGCAAAGAAGATTCTCAACCGTGAGTTGAAAGTGAAGAAGAAAGAGTTAGGTAAATGTCTAGCTTGGTTAGCTAGTTAAAGGTCAATTGTGAGCTATCCTTTTTAGTTAGATTCCTTTTAGTTAGTGAGCCTTTAAAAGCTCTTTCTCGAAGATTCAAGCCTTATCTAAACAGCCATAGAGAGCTTATATTTGCGTACTCTTTGATTTTTTTCCACAAATTAAAATTTATAGACCTGGAGAAAAATGTGAGATGATTTGAGACGATTTTAACATGATTTTTTTCGATAATGAGTGTATCTGAAGATACCTCACTGAACACGATTTTTCCTCTTCTTTTTTCAGATGATACTCAAAAATTTGACTGATAACGCTAAAAACTTGGCTGCCAACGCAAAGATAGAGGATATGTCACGACTGATCAAAAACCACATGGCAGGCAAACAAGACGTGAAAAACGCGCTTAGTGGCGTCATGGTAAGTGTTCGCTTCTATGTTTGTATCTACTCATTACAATGGGAGAGAACACTCATAAAACAATCTGATTGTCTGATAGTGTTCAGTTGGTTGTAAAATTGGTCTAATAAACAGAATCAAATGGAAGAATCGAAAGTAATGTTACTGAGCAACAGAGAATCCATTTATGTAAAAAAAAATTACTTACCTGATATGAAAAAATGAGCATGTGCAGTGCACGCTATGTTCTATTTCTATGTCTTTTTCATATTTACATTTCTATCATTGGAATACGACCGCCTATAACGCAGCCCTTGAAATTTCAAAAAATGACTTACATACATACACGAGTCGCTTTTATAGCGCTCTTTGGCGCTGTGCGACGCCTAATCGCCACAAAACTCGGTCTTCCACAGGTCATCAGGGAGTTGACACTCCCTCATTTCACTTAATACCCCCTGTCGCCACCCTCTCACTGGGCGTCCCCTTCGCCAAAAAAAAAAAAAATGACTTTAATTTCATAAAAAACATCCTGAAAATTCACCGTAAAAATTTTAAAACTCATTTTTCATAAAATTTTCTGTATCGGCGACAGATCCATTTTTCCGGAGATTTTTTTTCCATCTCGACATTTTCCGCTAATTACCTAAGATGAAATTGATTTCATTTGGTCGTTAATTTTTACGATTTCGCAGGAGATCGAGAAGAACCTCTCGCCGAAACAGTGCGCAGTTCTGGACGTGGCTTTGGACACGATAAAGCAGTACTTCCACGCCGGAGGCAACGGGTTGAAGAAAACTTTCCTCGAGAAGAGCGCCGAATTGCAGTCGCTCCGCTACGCCTTATCCCTGTACACGCAGACAACAGACACGCTCATCAAAACATTCGTCCAATCCCAAACCAACACCGGTACGTGCCCAATTTTCACCAGTTTCGTTTTTTCTGTGTATTCTCTCTCTTGGAATTTTCTTGCTCTTCTGTCTTTGTTCTTGCGTTGTACTTATTTTAACTTAACAAATGCAGCTTCAAGTGGATCAAGTTTAACAAAAAAGAACCAAGTGTTTTTCTTTAGAAAAGCAGAGCGTCTCTTTGTCGTAGGGTTTCCTCAATTTACTTTCCTGAAGAAAATTTGCATTTAAAAATATCAATTTTGATTTACTGCTGCAATTTGTTTACTCCTGACTATGAAAGATATATTTGCTGTGATACAAATAATCATTCCTCTTGAATCTTTAATGCCTTTGTGCCTCTCTTTCGAGTGCTGTAAGATCCAAATCAGTTTAGAGAAAGGAGCCAAATGCGAAGTCGCTTTATTTTAAAGTTCTTTATGTATAATCAATCAATCCAAAGAAAGAAGCTACTTGGTCACTCAAAACTTAAAAACCGGAAAGCTTTCTTATATATCAGCAAGCTATTTCAACTGCATGTATAGTGATGCTTAGAGAGTTCTTTTAAGCAACAAATGAATAGACCCCTTATTTCCAAAACACTTGGTTTTATTCTGTAAAGCTTCATCTAAATAATCTCTGAATACCAAACATCGATAACAGATATGGGTGGATAATAACTTGAGTTATTCTATACTTAGAGTGTAAATGGAGTCTTTATGGAGAGAGTGTAGAGACACCTGGCCTGGCCTCAGCTTGATGCTGATGCTGCTGATGACTGCTTGATGGCCAAAAAAATGGAAACTTTTGATGAAATTTCGCCAAAGTCTAGTGGTAATCCCCAGCTTCGTAATTTTGTACCAACACCTCTTTATTTCAAAAGGAGTTCTGTCGAATATGAGGCAAATCATTTGTTTTCATACTGATTAAACACGTTTTTCCTACGTGACTCACGTAAAATTGACGGTGCAGGTGAAACCGTTTTTTTGCAGTCAATTTAAGGCAAAGATACATACTCCAAAAGTGTCTGCCATTTCTGACCCTTAGACTACTCGAGATTAGTCTGAAACGACTAAACCAGTCAGATATAGATCCCACGGTAGTCCAGTAGCCACACTCTCTCTGTAAAGATACTCAGTCGCTCAGCGTCACTCAGGAGTCAAAATGGCAGCTACGGCGATTTTTCCCGCCAGAGAGGAGATACTAGTATGGGATTTCTGCATTTTTTTGTCTTTGGTTTTCAATCCGAAAGCCTCAATCTTTTACTTAGTGTAACTTGATGTAATTTGTGTTTAATATCCCTCCTCTCATTTCTTTGCTAAAATTACGCTTTCAAAACTTCATAGACATCATTAAATGTATTCCATGTTCAAAAAAACGTTCTGAAGCTGACTGCATAACAAGGAGAAGAAAAAAACATCATAAGAAAATTACAGAACATAAGATTAAAGTCTTCAAATAAAACAATCAATGTTATACTATTCAATTTCTTCCTGAGACAAAACCCGTAGAAGTAGCATGGAATATGAATTTTGTATGTACATATTTATGTGTTTATATTGAGGTTCATATGTTTTTGTCTATTGTATATTAGTGTTAATGTTTAAGAGCTCTCTCCGTAAAGTGTAAATAATACTGAACCTTTCAATCCGAATGAGACTCGTCATTCGATCCATGCCTCTTTTATTTTACATGCCAGAAAAGAGAGAGTACGAGAAATTGCTTCAGCCAAGATTGAAGGGGCTTTTTACACGGGCTGTGTAAGCACTTCGGTACTTATGTGACTAATGAACAAAAAATTCAAGTAACTAATTTGAATTTTTCCATGACTCAAGAGGTTTACAAGAAATGTATGTGAATGTAACTTTTTGCACTTTATGGAGCGAGGCTCTATTGGAAAAAAAATTATCGTTTCTGTATAAAAGGGTATTTTTATCTTTAATCAAAATTCAATCACAGGGAATGCGTGAAAATGTGGGTATTCGCATTTGTGGTTGATTTTGAGTGCAGAACAATCCTTTGTAAATTTTATGCGTTATCATTTTTCTTTTGAAAATCGCTTCATTTACATTGTTGCTTATGCAAAATCTGGAGAGTTGTTTGTATTTTGGCAACATTTTTCAAATACTTTCCTACATTGATGGCCAATTTTTTCCTCCTTCAAGAGTCTCAATATTCCTGAAATATTGGAAATGTTCAATGAATGTAAATGAGCTCAACCTGTTAGATATTGATTTTTCTTTCAACAAAAAAGGCTCTTGCTAATGAAATATGAAATTTTCTACTGATACCCGGGCAAAAGACAGCTCGCTAACGATTTTTACTGTTGGCATGTGTAATATCAGATACTCCAATTCATGCGTCCCAATCTGAGTCCAAAAACGTATCCCTTTGATTGGCTGGCGAGTTCTTTTCACGAGGAAGCAAAATTAACCACGATTGCTAGTATACCCAGTATTTTCAGTCCTAGTTGAGCAATCATACTCGGAATAAGAAAACTAATGAAAAGATGGCAACGTTTTGATCTACATTATTGTCATTTAGCCGGATAAAGTTTTGGATTGGATCTTTACTGCATAAAACCCCTAACTAAAGTTTTTCGGTAGACGAGATACGACGGCATGATGTGCTCCTAAAGTCAAAGTTCCCGATTCTTCACGTTTATTCCGAGTTTGATTCTGAACTAGGTCTTTATATGTTAACTATATCAGGAATTAACAGAGAACCCTCATTAGTGCCCCACAATGCGTCGCCCCTCTGACGTAAGGGCGTATCTCAATTTCCACGTGAGATTTATTTTCCGTATAAGTCCATACTTTCTGGGGCTCATGTGGAAATCGAGATACACCCTCACGCCAGAGGAGCGACGAATTGTGGAAACTTCAACGCTTGGAACTTTAAATTTTCTCATAGATACCAACTCTCATCTTTTTGGTGCATGGCCGTCGATCCACGTGTGGACCAGTATGTCCATTGAGTTTCTTCAAGATGGGAAAAAATATCGACGGTGTGAGTCGGCAATCACATAACTCGGTTCGCGGCGTCGCAGACTTCCTGTCATACTTTATTTTTCAAACGGAAAACTACTCAACGGCAATGGTGATGTTGCATGTGTGAGGAATTTGCGATTTAATTATCGATTCACATGTAAAAGTTCGCTAGAAACACGACGGTGCCACTGGTTTTCGCTGAAATCAACTCCCAAGCTCAAAATAAGCTCTCAAGTTGAAGTCAGAATGGAGGGGATATCCCACGCTATCCCGAGAGTCCACCTCTACATCAAGACAGACTCCCCATGCAAAGATAGGGAGCAAATACATTAGCAGTGATGCCGTGTTTCAGTTTTAGAGTCCCCAATTAAAGTGGCAGCCCTGTCAATGTCTTTGCTCCCTATCTTTGCATGGAGAATTTGTTTTGATGTAGAGGTGGAATCTCAGGATAGCGTGGGATATCCCCTCCATTTTGGCCTCAACTTGAGAGCTTTTTTTGAGCTTGGAAGATGATTTTAGAGAAGACCAGTGGCACCATCGTGTTTCTCGCGGTCTTTTACATAAGAATCAACAGTCAAATCGCAAATTCCTCACACATGCAACATCTCCATTCTTTAAAACTGCTGTAATTTTCCCTCTCTGTGCGAAAAAAATTCTGCAAAACCTTCATGGAATGATGTCAATTTGTTCTCCTTTAAAAACATAACATACAGGCGGCGATTTTCAGACACTGCAAACGATACATGTGATTGCGGACTTATGCCGTCGATATACTTAGGTTCCGTAGAGTGTTGAGGCTAGTGAAGGATCTGTGTACGTCTGTGACCACTGATACCGATGTTGTGTACAAACTTCTAAACGGTTGCGCTTCGTTTGTGTTTGTCCTCGGTGTTTGCTTGGTGTTGGGTGCTTTGTCATGGTTACCATGGTCGCGACGATTACGTTACCATAACTGTAGTTCAATTGAACAAGAGTAAATTGAGGCAACGATCTATTTCGAACGAGAAAGAGGACGATGCGTTAGAAGGATTAGAGGAGCCGCTTCGGGCTAAAAAGCGGAGAGAGTCCACTCAACAAGAAGGTTTGCCGTTTGCATCACATCATCGCTTATACTCACCACCTAACCCAGTTACTCACTCACACTCCCACCACCTTTACACAAACTAGTCAGAGTCAATAGGTCAGTTGCGCTAGTCACAGAATCGTTGTTTGGTGCTTGATTCTTGTAGATCAGCTGAAAATAATATCTGCCCAAACAGCAACTTTCTGCGTTGAATATTAACCGAGATGTACCGCTTGGAAAAATTCGGTTTATAATGTCATCCACCACGGAAGTGACACCCTTGATTTCTTCCACCTTGCTTTCATCAGTCAGAAAAGCACAAATTCGCACCGGTTACTCAGCGTGTAACTCGGATGAAAGCAAGGTGGAAGAAACCAAGGGTGTCACTACCGCAGTGGATGACGTTATAAACCGAATTTTTCAATGCACGGTGTCTCGGTCAATATTCAACGTAGAAAGTTNGGATTTCTTTTTGATTTAAGCTTAACTCTGATTGAATCAAGTGTCCTTTTTCTTGTCAATGTTTTCAAGAGTCTGGACTCTAGATCCATTGTGCTTTTTTTTCCAGGGTATGTGATTGCGGATTTATGCCGTCAATATACTTAGGTTCCGTTGAAGTGTTGAGGCTAGTGAAGGATCTATGTGCGTCTGTGACCACTGATACCAATGTTGTGTACAAACTTCTAAACGGTTGCGCTTCGTTTGTGTTTGTCCTCGGTGTTTGCTTGGTGTTGGGTGCTTTGTCATGGTTACCATGGTCGCGACGATTACGTTACCATAACTGTAGTTCAATTGAACAAGAGTAAATTGAGGCAACGATCTATTTCGAACGAGAAAGAGGACGATGCGTTAGAAGGATTAGAGGAGCCGCTTCGGGCTAAAAAGCGGAGAGAGTCCACTCAACAAGAAGGTTTGCCGTTTGCATCACATCATCGCTTATACTCACCACCACTAACCCAATTCACTCACACTCCCACCACCTTTACACAAATTAGTCAGAGTCAATGGGTCAGTTGCGCTTTTCACAGAATCGTTGTTTGATGATGCTTGATTCTTGTAGATCAGCTGAAAATATAATATCTGCCCAAACAGAAACTTTCAGCGTTGAATATTAAGTAACCGAGATATCACGCTTTAAAAAATTCGGTTTATGATCCACCGCGGAAGTGATACCCTTGGTCCCATATTGTCTTCCACTTTGCTCCTTCACTACCGCAACGAATGACGTTATAAACCGAATTTTTCAATGCGCGGTATCTCGGTTCATATTCAACGTAGAAAGTTGCTGTTTGGACCGACCTCATGTTTAGCTGATCGATAAGAATCAATCATCAAAGCACGATTCTGTGACCAGCGCAACTGACCCATTCCCCATTCTCAGTTCTGTGATGAGCCTTTTGCACCCACGTTTATTCAAACAGATCAATAGATTTCATGAACAAAAATGTTAGATTTTTTAAGCTTCGCTTACACTAACCCGAGCACCTAAAAAAATAGAGAAGCCTGCGCAAATTTATTCTTTTGTTTTAATTTTTTTTAATTTAGAGGCTCTTTAGCGAAATTTTGATCTCGCTTAGTAATTAAACTGCCTGTCAAACTGAGTGCCGAATGTAATGATTTTTGGCAATGCTTTTGCAACCAGCATTTAAAAATAGGGATTTATCAAAAAAAGAAAAGATGTTTTCACTTTTTTAATTATTACTTTGGCAGGAAAAAAGGAAAATTTCTAAAACCGAGAAAAATTGAGAAGTTTATAAATCGAGTTTGAGTGAAGCGAAAAATATCTTACGTATTTTCACACTGTAGTTTCCTCTTTGGTTTTTACACATAGTTGCGTGATTTAGGAGAAAAAAGGAATTTTAGAACACACATTCATAAGCTTGACACACTTTTACACCATTTTTAATACACACGTCCTTATTAAATTTCCACTGATATTCACAAGGAGAAATATTCACAAAAATTTGACAACCCTAAAGATAACTATGCGTGCATTTGCGGGTAGATTAGTCTATGAATATACTTTTCCATGAAACATCCCTTGAATATTTCTCCCTTTTTGAGGCTACAGTGTAGCATCGTCACTTTTTTTAAACGATTTTATCAACCATCAGCCCAGTACTGATGTTGTTATTTGACTTATAGTCATTATTATTTGAAAATGCATGAATGTAGTTTTGTGCCTGTAAGTATATCTTTCATTGTCGTCTTGTTGGCTTGCTAGAAACGTATTTTACAACGTGTCTGGTCCGTTCAAGTAATATAAGTTTCAAAAGAAAGCTTTCACCTTTCAATATCTTGATGCGAATGTCGAAAAACGCTGAAAAACGTGTTTAATCGTTTTGAGGGGGCTCAAAAATGCAAATGTGCCGAAAACCTATCTCCGTAAAAATATTAAACACGCGTTTCCGCGTTTTTCGATATTCTACAGATATTCATCAGCTATCATTCTACAGATATTCATCAGCTATCATTCTACAGATATTCAAGGTGAATAATTTCTTTAGAAACACCCTTTATATCACATGTGTTTTGGGTCTCAACTTATTTTTCTCTCTTTTCTTTCTTTTTACTTTTTTTATGGAATTATTTGTGAGAGAGTCTGCATGACAGCACCAGGAGAACATTCCAAAGATGTTATTATTATATTCTAAGCCACTGCACAAATGAAGATTTTTTTCTGAATATACCAACGATGCCCATTCTTTGTGGTATAATTCAAATAAATATTTAATAAAAATTTAAACTTAAGTTTCATTAGGGTTTTCGTTAAATTGGATGGGAGTCATGGGGGTTCTTCTGGCAACATTAATGTGCTTATGATGCTGCTGTAGGTAATGATCACTGATCTTGAAAGTCTCTGTCACTCTCAGAGACAATTTGGAATCGAACATTTGACGCTTTGCTGCAAGTTCACCGCTAATGTTACTCACAATAATGAAGCAAAATTGCATGAAATTCAATACTTTCAAAAATGTATCTAATATTTTTATTCAAAATACGATCGACTACTGTCTTTTGTGTTCTCCGTTTACGCATTCTACGAGCAAAGTATACTTAATGAACGAGTCGTTTAGACAGGCAGATGGTTCGTTCATGATTTCATTATTTCAATTCCGTAAAAATTTGGAAAATTCTATTATCAAAGGGGATAAGTGCTTCCGAGCGTAATTTCTCCCATTGAAGATATACTGGTTGGCGGTAAATGAAGATGTTGCGTGTGTGAGGAATTTGCGATTTGACTATTGATTCCTCTGTAAAAGTTCACGAGAAACACGATGGTGACACTGGTTTTCTCTGAAATCAACTCCCAAGCTCAAAAAAAGATCTCTACTTGAGGCCAAAATGGAGGAGATATCCCACGCTATCCTGAGAGTCCCTATGAGTGAACGCTGAGAGAGTGTATGGAACCCTAAAAGTCGGAAATTCTCTAGATTGCAAGGGGACAATATATGACCATTTATGAATAAAGCGGCCACGCCCCCGATCACCTCGCAGTCCAACCCCCTGGAGCATTTATTCGCGCCATAGGCTCATATGATTCATAAAGTAGAATCCTTCCGCATTTATATTAAAGATATTACAGAGTTAGATCAGCTAAAATCCTGCTTTAATTTTTGATATTTCTGAAAGTTCCTATCGCTGTCTTTCTGTCATTTTATCAATTGTCATGATCATGTGGTGCTTGAATATTAATCGGCACTTTTCTCTCATGAATTAGGGTTGCCATCTGAGGAGGACAGCGTTGGCGAAGTATCGATCCAAGTTGACCTGTTCACTCATCCCGGCACTGGAGAGCATCGTGTTACCGTTAAAGGTAAACCCCATTCCATTATTCTTACCACGCATGAATTTATTTGAACTCAAGGAGTGAAGCAAAAACTTTTTTAATTTTTTTGCCACTGTCGACGAGTACAGTCGAAGGCACGGATGAAGACCCAAGTACCGTTTTTGTCACTTCCGAACACATCGGAGATTTTAGCTATCGATAGGCCTCCCGATGTGCTAGCCCGCCCCCAACGTATTCTTTAAATCTATAGAGTACTTCATATCGAGAGCTCGAACTCAGATCTCTCAAATTTACTTGAAAAAAATCGTCCTTATGAAAAACAATTGCCTCTGAAGACTAAGATCCTTCCTTTGGAAACTTCGCAGGCAGAGGCGGATCAAACAATTTGGCAACACCGGATTCCATCCATTGTTAAATAATCGATTCTTGTCCGAGCAACAGGCCCCTACAAGAATCGATACATTTCCATAGGTTTAAATGGAGAAAAACAATCTTGCCAACTTGCTGGATCCGCCAATGTTCGTAGGCAAATTGCAATCGCCGCTAATTTTTAACAGCGTTTCCTTACAGGATGTGCGTGTTTTATATTTCCTTCAGGCCTGAATATGTCCTATTCGTTGCTGGTATTACATTTTGACTTTCATGCATCATTAGCTGATTAAGCTGATCATCCTATCGATATTTAATTCGTTAAAATTCTTATTTTTCAGTGGTCGCTGCGAATGATTTGAAATGGTCGATAGCCTCGGGAATGTTCCGGCCCTTCGTCGAAGTGAACCTGATCGGACCTCACTTGGCCGACAAGAAGCGAAAGCAAGCCACCAAATCCAAGTCCAACAACTGGTCACCCAACTTCAACGAGACCTTCCACTTGTAAGTTAGGCTCCTTAACCTCATCTATCAACACTCTTAAAAGTCTAGTTCATTTCATTACGATACGAACTCAAGTTTATAATATGTCCCATTCAGTGCATTCTTTTTTCCCACCCCAAATTTTTCTCCATTTCAATGTACGTATAACAATCGTTTTGTGGCGAGGCAGCTTGCCTCCCTTTAAATCCATGTTTTTAATGGATTTATTTTAATGGAAGAAAAATAGTGTTGCCGACTTACAAAAATTGGTAGGAGTTAGAATAACGTGTAATCATGTGAACTATGCCACTTTACTTACTTCCGACATCCTAGCGCGAGGTTTTTTTTTTTTTTTTTTTTTTTTTTTTTTTTTTTTTTTTTTTTNTTTTTTTTGAGGTCAAGAATGTGTTCAGAAAAGTGGAAAGGACAAGATTGATGTTAGGTATGTGTAAAAGAACATATAAGCACCAATTTTCATGCAATTTTTATTCATGACTGTCGTCACAATTTAAAAGAGAAAGAAAAATAAACAGTTTTTCTGCCCAAGCTTTTAGGGACTGTAGCTCTGAAGGGTGTGATTTTTCGGGAAAACGTTATGAAACAAAAAAGTTTCCCAAAAATCCCAAATCCCAAAAATCAATTCTGAAAATATTCGCTTTTAACTCCTAGATACCTTGTATGACAGTGCACTTGAACAAAAGCGTTTTTTTTTTGTTTGCGTATGCGCTGGAGAAACATCGCTCCTCCTAAAAAAATTTACAATTAAATGATTAACATGAGAAATCCAACCCAAAAAAATGCCAGGCACTCGCAGAACTTACCTTATTAGATTTCCAATACTCCTCTGCCACTCTCAATTTTAACGCGAATACCAGTAGGTATCCAATTTCCAATATTTTTTTTAAAAAAAACACAAACAATTTTTGGAGAAAACTCACTCAATTGCGTAAATTTTTAAAAGATGGGACGCGCTTTGAGACCTTTGCACTCCGGTCCTATCAATTTTCACTTCCTGTATTCAACTTTTTAAAATATTTCAATTCTGTCGTTACAGCAACATCGGTCATGAAGAGCAGGTGGACAGTTATGAACTTCAAATTTGTGCCAAAGACTATTGCTTCGCGCGCGATGACAGACTGATAGGAGTTGCCGTGATTCAGTTGAAAAATATCGTGGATCAGGTATGTTATTTTGAATAGATCGTATTCAATACATCAGACAAGGGCTATTGTATCAATATCGATTGGTTCAACATTTAAACATGACCTCAAAAGTCAATCGAGTTTTCTGTGGGAACGGGTTTTTTATGAAAAATGTTCGATTCTTTTGAGCACCACTTGGCAATGAAAAGTGAAATTGTTAGGAAGTTTCTCTTTTTCAGCTTCCCCAACCTAAATCGTAAAATCTTCGTTTGAGGTCATGTCCTATTGTTTTGAACCAAACATACATAGAACCACTGTCGAATACAATCCATGTGTTTGGATGTATGAAACCTCATCGTAAAAGGAAAATAATCATTCCTATCTAAGGCACAGATATACTCGATTAAGGCTGAAGTATCACGTGTCAAGATGGTTGTTGCGGCTAAAATTTCAAGAGCGTCTAGAGATTTCCTTGATTTCCAAGTGTTCTTTGATCAAGAGAAAATTTTGAAGTAAAGAGATAAGTGTTTATAAGAGAATCCAGAATAGTATCAATTAAAAGAGCATTAAAACTAATATTTAGGACTGGTAATTATCGAATGCTGGTAATAACGTATCACCAGACTTCTTCAAAGTATCAATTTCCATCTTTCTTTAATCTGCCCGACACTCGCTTTGCCTTCATTTTACAAGGTAGGCAGTACGCGCTCCTGCGCGTGCTGAATTAATGATATACAACGTTGTTGCCGCGGTGAGAGAAAACGCTGAATGCTGAATGCAACTTTGAACGTTGCCAAATTTTCCCTGATGAATTATAAAATGCTGGGATTAGCTTTATTGACACAGAAAAATATAGGATGAAAATCACTCAAGCCTACACACATGTGGAGGATGGGAATTTTTTTTTTTTTTTTTTTTTTTTTTTTTTTTTTTTTTTTTTTTTTTTTTTTTTAATTTACAGATTCTTTGGATTCAATTGCGCTTAAAATTCTCTAAAAAATTGGAAGAAGTATATTGCAAGTATGTTGAAAATTCATATTCTATCAAAGAGAATTTGGCAAAATTGGTTCGTACCAAATTTTTTGGTAGCACTGCAAAGTTTAAAAAGGATCCGATTGGTGTTTGCGGGAGTTTTACAACAAAGTCACATGAAGTTGACATTGAACGCACTAACTCGGATTCGATTACCATGTAAAACTGGAAGAGAGAGTGAATTTTCAAGGGAAAATTATGAAAATTACGTGCAAGGGTTGACATGGTTTCAATGTAAGATCGATGAACTGATGGTCTTTATTTTTTTCCTCTCCTTTCGCAGGGTTCTTGTGCCTGCTGGGTGCCTTTAGGAAAACGTATTCAAATGGACGAGACAGGCTGGACCATTCTCCGCATCCTGTCACAGCGATCCAACGACGAGGTCGCCAAAGAATTTGTTAAACTTAAGTCAGATATTCGTCAAGAGAATCCACTTCCCGTCCAATAGGACGAAAAGGAATAATCTGAAGGCTGCCAATTTTTAACCAAAAAACAAGCACACTCGCGCGATTTAATGAGGAAAAATTCACTTTTAATGTCACTTGGAACCCTGAAGTCCCAAGTTATTTAATCCTCCATCCGAAAATTGCTTCTTTCTCAATCAAAAAATGCGAAGAAAAACGGATTTGACTTTTTGAGATGAGCAGCGAGCTGATTACTGAAATTGACAGACAAATCTCTCGACAAAGAGGACATAGAGAGTGTGGAGCAATCCTATTGGTCGAAATGGGTGGTTCCTATAGACTAAGGGAGAAAATTATGGACTAACTATAGGGCCTCTCGTGGGCTGCCTGTAGTCAGTCTCTTCCTTTTTTGTCCATTGCAACCATCCACTTCCACCAATAGGATGCCTTCATATCCCTTTTGTCTTTTTTGTCTATAGCTTTGTCTATCCAATTTCAATGCTCGGCGCACTGGGCTAATTATTTGGAGGAATAAATAGTTAAAAATTGGCATCCTCAATCTCCGCTTGTGATCCCTTCCAATCCAAAGTTTCGCCCTCTTTTTCCTGCGCCAGAGGGTCAAATTTGGTGTAAAATAAAAATGCGTATCAATCCAAAATATTTGCATTTACATTACTCCATTATTAAACCCATAGTGTTGTTTTCCCTCTACCTTTTTACCTTTCTCCTTTTTCGTCTGTCGGTTTTTGTAATATTTTTGCTAACTTTGTACATTCATCACTGCTTTGAGAGTCTTTTTTACCCAATCTTACCTTTTGATATTCAAGTTGCTGAATGTGACACCTCAGCAGCCTAGAAGATTTGCCTCAGAAACGCTTCATTTAATGAGACCAAACGAATGACTTATGAGGTTGGCATTCGGAAACCGCCCAATACGAAAGCATAAAAGTGCCATTAATGTAAAATGACTAGTTGAATTGTAAATTTTTCAGCGTAAAAATTGTTATGTCTATGTGAATCGTTGCGGTTGAAGCAATGTCCTAACTAATCATAATTTGACTTTTTGCTGTTACCTTTTCAAAGTTACCATATTCTGACTTTCTTTCTCTGCGTTCTGAAAAGAAATTTTATATATCTTTCTGACTTAAAGCAACCTAGAGAAAGTTTTCACAGTAAAGAAAGTTTGTTGTTGTTGTTGTTGTTTTGTTTCTTGTTCCGTGCCTGTACCTATCTTCTAAAATGGCACAAAAACTATGCGTTTTTATTAGGTTCTCGACATTTCAAAATATTATCTATAAGTCTACTTCAGATGGAGCCTCAGTTATTGGCTCAATGCATGAGTAATACTTTTGATTTGTTTCAATAATTTTCTGTTCTTACTCTTTCCCTGAATTGTTACCGGGAGCCCGGGTATCGTAAATCATTATCATTACTTTGTTCATATTTTTTGTTGAACAGAAGTTTAAATTATGCTAATTTGAAGTGTTTTCTGGCAGAGGCGCAATAATACAGACAGGAACCACTTTTTTAGAGAGATACCCTATGCCGCAAGAGACTTTACGTCCGCAATGTTAGGGTATAGTCGAAAATGGTTATGAATAAATAATCCATCGGGGAAAACACCTTAACTTTTAATGTACATGTTTGCTTGTCATTAAGATTCTTCTTGATACATGTTTCTGGGTGTCATAATGAATCTCATGTTAGAGGCACGCGTTGTAAGCATGATTCACGAATCTTCAAAATATGATGAAAATCATGCTTACCACCTTCATGGAAAAAGGTGTACAAGTGGTATTTTTTTCCTCTCTTAAAATGAATCCCGCTTTATTTCTGCGACACGTGATCTTATCATATCAGACGTTGCCCTGTCTGTTTGATTACAGTTTTGTAAATGATTGTATCACTCAGTGTTTGTTTCGGTCGGGCTTGTTGATATCCCGGTTTAGCTGCCGGTTGGCCATTTTTTAGTGCATTTCTTTCAAGAAAAAACCGATCGTAACGAACTGTAGCGTCAACCAAGCCCGCCCGAAACTTTATTATTGATTTATTTTTTTAATCCTAGATTACCTTAAGTTCTGTTGGATAAATGATTTTTTTATCGAACCAATACATATCAAACTTGTTTCTTTGATTCTTGCTCTGTTTGTCGAGTTGATCGTTTTGTCTGTTTATTTTGTTTGTTCGCGTAATAATCACTTATCCGTTCGTTTATTTTTTCGTTATGAGCGATAATTTCCCGAAGATGTAATCATGTGTGAGTCGGACATTGTTTAAGTTCATATATTAGAGGACGAAGTTTTTTGTCTATCGACTGTGCAAGACAAGACTGAAACAGCATGAGTTTTGTGATTGGCCAGCTTATGAGGGCGCCTTTTGAGTTGCTGATAAAATTCCACCCGAAAAAGACGTGACCAAGAGGATGGCTTACAAAGTCGACCAATCATATGACTCCATGCCACCATAGTCTCGTCCTGGCCTGTTCAGTTGACTGACTCAAAAACTCCTCTCAACTTTAATCTATCCTTTGTTCCACGACTCGATTGTTTGGATGGCGCTTAGTTAGACCCGACTATTATTTTTTTCAACTGAAATTTTATCCTCATTGAATCCCTCTGTTTTGTGATTACAATAAAGCTAAAATTAGTGGTAGAATACAAAGTATATGAACTTAGTCATCATCAAAAGATGCAGGGAAATTCAGATTTATGATTTTTGACCATCTTGTTTTCGCTTATCGTAAGAGACTCTAACCACCCAAGGCTTAATCCTTTCTTCAAATTGTACCTGACCCGGTCCCTAAGTCTTGCAGTCAAGTGCCAAGCCAGACTCGTTTTCGTTTAACATCGGTATTTAAGATATAATCTTTCATTTGCACAAAAATATAAGTAGAGTAATTTTAGAGTAAACAAAAAATTCGATCACCCTTTTTGGGACTGGAGCAGTCGCGATTCTCGAAAGTTGGCGACAATGTTTCTCTCCATTTGAACGTATGTAAAACAATCGATTCATAGTGAGATCAAATCGATTTTTATGTATAATCGACTCAAATGACGCGAAATAGTGTTGCCAACTGCTGGAGCGCATTATCAGAATCATCGCTAACTGTGCGAAACTTTGCTATCGACCCTGGGACCGAGTGGCAATGTTTTGACAGTTTACAAAGTAAAAAATTTACTTAAATTGAAAAGTTGGAGAATTTAGATCAAATCTCTATTTATGCGCACAAAAGAGAGTATTAGACCGCAGTAGTCCTTCGTCTTTTCCTTCAAAATCTCGTAATTGATATTTTCCTTTTCTGACAATGATCATTAGGTGTAAGACTTTCTTTCTCCAGTTTTGCGTGCCACAATCCTGCTGTATTACAAGAGCGCAAGATGTGAGTCACCCTAATTTGTGACGTAATAAGATGAAAATAATTTCGGATTTTTACGAAAAAGCAGAAATAATAGTACTCCTAATACAAGCATGCATGACTATTTGCAAGTCCTAGAGGGGTCTCGAATGAGGCTACTCGTAGAAAGCAACCCAATAGACAGCCTGTTTTAGAAATATTTTTGACAACATATCGGTTATTTTTTTCTCGAAGATTTTTGTTTTTTGTTGCCTCTTGTGAGTAATGAAGTAGGAATAAGTGAAGTCATCCCTCATCAATGATTACGCTTTGTGACATATTTTCCATCGCCTAGAGGTCTTAGAATAGCAATGCAGATTTATAAATATAGACATTACTTAATCTTAAATCAACTTGAAGGCTCGAGCAAGTCTGTGAACTCATTTGGGCTTTTTGAGACTGATTCAAATCACAATTCTCTTTTCATTCAATTCGAAGGAAGTTGCAATAGCACCTTGAGAGTTTGCTGATCAGCTAGCACTGCAAATGAAAATTAAAAAACAAGCCATTGTGGAGATTAATGAGTTGAGCAGATTTAAAATTTTAAACCGAAATTCTCCCTTGTCCAATGTTCCGTTCACTCGAGTTTTCAATCTGATAGTGTTCCCAAAAATCTTACTTAAGTTATCCAAAAGAAAGCTGTGATTGTGATTCTTAAATGGTTTATACATTTGGACCAGACCAGATCTCAAAGCAAAATTTTCAGAGTGTTAAAGTGAATTGAATTCACGAATCCGGGAATGCCAATGTGTTCCAAAAGCTATTAATATTTAACGAGGAATTCCTCTCGATGTGGGCACGTTCCAAGGTTAGAGCCATTAAATTTTTTATATGCATCCTTTGTAAATATGTAATTACGTATTTCCTATGTTTTTGATAATTTGTATAAAACTCAGAAGTAAATATTGTTATGGTGTTTGAAAACGAGCAAGCAAAAAGACTTACAGAAAGTATTAGTCTAATAAATGTTCGAGAAAACTACTGGAATAAAATAAAATAATCAAATCCACGACCTGGTTTTCCTTACCTTAAAATCCGAATCTACTACCACTATTGACATGCCGCTTTCACATAGCGCTTCCATGCGCTCTGCGGCACCCAATCGCCAGAAGAAGCACTCCTGCCGTAGCTCCTCTGGCAAATGGCATCTGAGATGCCATTTGCCATATACCGGCCAGGAGATACCGTATCTCCTCATTTCCAGCCTTATACCGTCAATTCACAATTTTTCAGGGAGTAAAGTCGCGCCAACAGTGGCGTGGCGTGAATGATCGATTACAGATATTTCTCTATTTGAAGCTGTAGTAAAGAATCGATTATTCAGGTGTTCGCACCACAGCTTTATCTATCGATTTCAATGAACAGCTCGCTGGAAACCATAGAAGTAATGCGGGCTGTGCTGTCGTGCTAAGGAAGAACGCCGTATGAGTCTTCAGACGTTGCCAAATATCCTTCGATAAAAACCAAATTTACTAGGAAAATTGTGAATATTTTTCCCCAAAATTTTCAGACGATTTTGTGCGCAATTTAATCTAAAACATCAGAAAATTTTAAGGAGAAATATGCATGAATTTCGTCAAAAATACATGTTTTATCAAAGGAAATTTGACAACTCTCGAAAGTTCATACGGCGCTCTTCCTTAGCACGGCAGTATAAGACTTGTCCCAAAATGTAGATACGTTCTTATGTCTGAGAAGCAACGATGACACCCCTTTAGAATACTCCCTGACCACCTCCAGGTCTGTTAAAAAATCACCGCAGATTCCGAGCCTGCGCCTTCTCAGGCGGGGACATTAAACAGCCAACTGGAGAGGGGGGCAGAAGAGTGGACGATATAGATTACAGAAAAAAACAAACGGACAGTTTTTCGGATATTAATAAATCCACCCAGCGAACGTAGGGAAGGGGAGAGGGGCACTGCGCAAACGTCATTTCGAAGGGATGTTGTTCCGTGTTGTGAAAACAATTTGTCCCCATCTGTCATCAACCTCAGGAGTGAACAAATCACAACCAAAATGACCATGGTTTCCTCCTCCGTTTAGTTTAGTTTTTCCTATGATGCCAAGTCTTGCGTTGAGACATATTTGGTCAGATGAAAATTCGCAACGTTTTTATGCACAATGTAAAAAATAGTACAGTTATACGATCTGAAAGTTCGGCGTTCCATCGCCTCGACCAGACAGTCAAACCGAACTATCAGTTCGTGTAACCGAACTTCGCTCATCCGACTGAAAGTTCAGTTTGACAAACCGATTGCACGGGAAAATTCGTACCCTGAAACAGTCTGGGTCAAAATTTTCTGTCCCGGCTACCAAAATTCAATATAACTGTCAAAAGCACAAAAATACAATTTTTTTAGTAGTGAAACCAAATTTCTACAGCGAAACCAAAAACTTCATTCTGAACTGCCGAATTTGTTTACTAAGATCAAGATTTTGTGTCCTGGCTACCAAAATTCAATATAACTGTCAAAAGCTCAAAAACGAAAATGTTTTGGCAGTAACCAAATTTCTACAGCGGAACCAAAAACTTCATCCCCAACTGCCGGAATTCTCTGGATGCGGGTGCTGTTTTCAAACTTTTCACTGTGTAGATTTTGAAACGTCGCAGTCGAGATGAGTGTGTTTCGACCATAGCCATATGGACGTATTTCTGTCAAACGGAACTATGACATGAGCTCTGACGGAAGACACGAGCTCTGAGGCCCAGAAGAATATATACATAACAGGGCTCACGTCATAATGCACATAGCTCCGTTCGGCAGAAATACGTCCATCTCACAGTCGTCAGTTCCCTCACGAAAGAACGTAACTCCATTCCAATGTCGCCAAATTTATCCTCGCAAATCGCCCATAAATCACGAGAATCTTGGGCATCTCCAACTGTAAATTTTGCCGATTTTACCCTAGATTCCATGCAAAAATCAGAATAATTGTGGATAAAAATTGTTCAAGTACATTTTTGCAAAATAAATTAATTGTTTGAGTCAATTTGGCAACCGTGGAATGGAGTTACGTTCTTTCGTGCTGAAGACGACGAGATATGAACCCTAGGAAACAGAATAAAATATGCGAGTGCCAAAATGTCTGAGGAGCCAAGAGCTCGGGTTCCCCGATCCATTTATCACGGAGCTCTCGTCGCTGGAGCAGGCTCATGATTTGTAGGACGTGAAATGTGCACCCCGGTTTAACACCTCTTTTCCGCCTGGCAGACAAGTCGTCGCCTAGGCCTACCTCCCTTCCAACGTGAGCCCTGTCGTCCGTATAACGTCATGCATTACGGGGCTCATCTGGAGATAGAGATTCGCCCTTACGCCAGAGGAGCGACGGAGAAGACTCCCACGCGAAGCACCCCCCGTGGTCATTCCTCGAACCCCTCCGGCTGCTTCAGCCCCACCCTCCCCTCCCCCGATCCCTCATCGGCTGCACCGGAATTACGTCGTTCAAATTCGCTATTAGTCAATTCTAGAGTCCCTTTATACTGAGAGTCAAGACAATGTGAATCCATTTCTGATTGGTTCCCGTATTTTAGGCCTTCACAGTGTAACAAACGGGAATAAAGATTAGATTGTCACCGATTGCAAAGATTATAATCTGGAATGGACCAGGGAATTACGGGTTCGGCAAGGAACAAACTGAATAAGAGAGGGAACGGAGAAAGGAATTTGAGAATGGGCCGATCAAAGATTACGAAAAACGTTCAATTTGTGTAATCTTTATTCCCGTTTGTGACTCCATGAGGGGGTGTTGTCTTGACGGAAGAACGCCGTATGAGCCTTCAGGCGTTGTCGAATCGCCTTCGATATAATACGAATTTCCAAGGAAACTGTTGATGGTTTTTCTTCAAATTTTTATGATAATTTCACCAGCAATTTGATTTGGAGGATTCGAAAATTTCAAGGAAAAATATTCATAACTTTCCTCAAAAATGGACATTTTATGAAAGGAAATTTGGTATCTCTCGATCGCTCATACGGCGTTTTTCCTTCGCACGGCAGAATTCGTCTGATACCAGTGGCATGGGTGGGACGCTTTGCGATGGATCGATTAATCTGCCATTCAAACCAATGGAAAAGGTTCGAGTATCAGGGCGTTTGCGACATACACCATAATAATCGATTCTTTATCATGGCTTCAAATGAGAAAATATCGATAGTCGATTACTACGTCTCGCCACTGCCCGATATTGTGCAACCAGATAGGGACCTTCTAATTAAGCTGAAACCAGGCCAATAATCTGTAAAAGCATCCGTGGGAATGGGCGAATTGAATATGCGAGTAAATGATTGTAAACAGTCAAAATAAGATCGAAAGCAATGTTTCTCGGTTCAACAGAGCCGTGCCGCAATCGATTTATAAGATTTGACGCTAATTTTGAGCTTTTCATTCCGGTCCAAAATCGAAAACTTCGAGAGGGCACTATTTAGGGGTCAATATCGAAGGTTCTACGATCGGGCTGAGCTGAAGGTAATCCCCTTGGAAATGGCCTGATGAGTCCAATTTCGGTCTAAAATTCTCCATGAGTTCACTGAAACTCACGATCGGTGGATTACATGATGCGTGCAAAAGGGTCAAGAACAGTCATAATCGGTCAGAAACACTCGTTTCTCGGGTCAGGAAGCATCCGATGAGTCTCGAGACCGGCGCAATTGATTCTACGCCTTGAACTACTTAGGACTCAACACGAATATCGAAAAAAAAATTTCCTGTCCAAAGCGAGAAAAATCGACAGGGGTTACAATGGTTACATGGTCTGTAATTTAGGGGTTGAAAACGAACGTTCTTCCATCGGCGGTCTGAAATATTGGCTCCGTCTCCAGTGTGCCTGGAAATAAGTGTTTTTGACCGTCTCTGTTCGGCAATATTCGAATACTTATACGGCGTTATTCCGTGGCATGTGATCATGTATTTGTCTATCAAATAATAATTCTTCAAACGTGAATATTAGATCCTAATTGACCATACAAGCAATATACGCATCAATGAATCATATGAAACAGAATTAAGTTTTGGGAATGAGAGTCAAAAATAGACCTTTACGTTTCTAGCTTTGCGTTAAAGTCTCCTTGGTATTCCCTCTTTTACCGCTCATGTCCACACAAGCCAAATACAAAACAAAGAGTCCTAAGGACAAAAGTAAGGCTAAGGAAATAAAAGCTTGGGAGTGACTTGTATGTTTCTAGCTGTGCGTTAAAGCCTACTTGGAAGCGTCCTCCTTACTGCCAATGTGCATAATTGCATACTAGCAAAATGCAAATCAATGAGTCATTTGGACTAAAAAAAAGACTATGAAAATGTTAACTTGAAAAAGATCTCTATGTTTCTATCTTCGCGTTAAAGTTTCTTTGAACGCCCCTCTCACTATATTTATACTTCCAGAATACAGCTAATCGGTGGATGCAACTTAATTAACTCCGGTGTGGGGTTGGGTTGCGTCGCCAAATTTGAAGGCGAACTGGCAGCGATTTCGTTTCCGTGTGATATGGCGCTCCAACCATCACACTGTGTTTAGCATCATCCTTCTTTTGCGATGGAGAAGGGATCATAGTTCCGGATAAAAACTATGCTGCTTTGCTTTAAAAAAAAAAAACCCAAATGATCCTTTGGTTATTGCCAAATTTCCTTTGAAAAAACACAAATTTTCTGAATAATTGATTCGCTTATAGATTTCAGCGATCAAATGGACCATTTATATGAAATGGAAGTGTCAAAATCGTACCTTGGCTCTGCCATGCACGTATTTTAAGCCCATGTCACAATGGGTATTATTCTTTCTTATGTAAATGGATCCGAATGGACGGAATGAAACGAAACGATGTCGGGGGATCTGCCTTACTTTTAGTGAAATAATAGCACATAAAACTCAAAGTTTCAAAATTTAGTCTCATTCAAAATTCGATTGGTTTATATATCGAAATTCAAATGTAAATCATCGAATTTTTTTGAGCTGAATTGGACGGAATGAACACACAACTGGACGTATTTCTACACCAATCGGTACCTTTATCC